TTATTGACCAGAAAAACAACAAGGTTTGTGAGATGCACTCTCTAGACGATCTTATCTTGCAGCATAGGAAGGAGATGCTGCTTTTGATCAACAACAAACAATTCTCTTGAAGCTAGAGCATCTTCATCTTCGAGCAATGAAATCAATACTAATTGTTGATTCAACTTTCATTAAGCAAGTTCAGTCAAGTATGTCTTCTGATCCTCTTATTCATGATATTAAGGAGAATCCTTCAAAGTCTTATGATACTTCCAAGTTTGAATTCAAGAAGAATCTACTATATTTTGAAGGACACCTATATGTTCCAGAAGGTAAAACTCGATTACGTGTTCTTCAAGCTCGTCATGACTTTCCAGTAGCAAGACATTTTGGGTACAATAAAACTTTGGAACTAATATCCAAGGACTTTTGGTGGCGACAAATGTAGAAAGCACTCAAAGATTTTGTACAATCTTGTGATGTTTGTTCAAGATCAAAAACTCCTCGTCCTCGACCTTACGGACTTTTTCAGCCATTATCTATTCCAGAACAACCGTGGTCTTCTATTTCTATGGATTTCATCACAAATCTTCCAATCTCAGGTTCTTATGACTTTATATTTGTGATAGTAGATCATTTTACCAAGAAGGCACATTTTGTACTATGTACAAAATCTATCACACGTGAAGAAATAGCTAAGCTCTTTCTTGACAATATCTATTACTATCATGGATTACCCAAGGATATTATTTCAGATAGGGGAACTCAATTTGTATCAAGATTTTGGCAGAGTCTTTTCAAGATTCTAAAAGTGGATATAAAACTATCTTCAGCATTCTATCTTCAAACTGATGGACAAATAAAGTGTGTTAATTAAGTTTTGGAGTAATATTTAAGATGTACCATCAACTACCAACAAGATGATTGGACAACTCTTTTGCCATTGGGAGAGTTTGCTTACAATAACATGATACATTTTTCTACAAAACAAACACCTTTCTTTACCAATTATGGTTATCATCCATGACTTGATACTTTTGACTTTTCAAAAGTTGATATTTCTACTGCGAAAGATTTGGCAATTCATTTGTTAGAGCTACATGCAACGATGAAGGCGTAGTTAAAAGAAGCTCAAGAACAATAAAAAGTCAATCCGAATGTCTATCGAAAGGAATAACCACCATTCCACATGGGTGATAAGATATGATTACTTCGTCACAATATCATGACCACTTATCCTTGTGACAAGTTGGACTATCGAAGGCTTGGACCATTTTCTATTTCTGTACAAATCAATCCAGTTGCATATCGTTTACACCTATTGGAGTCAATGAAAATCCATCTAGTATTCCACGTATCTCTTCTTGAACCATACAAGGCAATGAACATACCAAGAAGAAGACAAGCTCCACCTTCTCATATAAAAGTGGACAATAATGAAGAGTTTGAAGTGGAAAAAGTTTTAGATTCAAGGCGACGTCGAAATAAATTGAAATAACTTGTCCATTGGCACAGATATGATATTAATGAACGTACATGGGAGCCAATAAAGAATCTTACAAATGCAACAAAGGCGGTGGAGGCTTTTCATCGACGACATCCATCAAAATCAAGATGAAAATCTTCCTTATAAAAGAAACAAGATCTAAGCAAGATAACATTCTATTTTTAATCCTTGTTTGTAGCTTCTTTGTAGTTGTGACGCTAAAGAGATGGAGAATTAACAACCAACAGATTTGACTCAAGAGCCTTCATTTGCTGACTTACCGGACGAGACATTACGATTGTCAAAACCTTCTGGACGATATAATCGAGTTGAAGATCTTCAAGAATTACATGTTCTTCCTTGAATAGATGGCAAGCTACAATACATTTGGTATTACAACCTTGAAAGGGACTTTCGATGTTTGGAGATTTTAATAGAGGTAGGAACAACTCCCGATGGTATTTCAAATATTTTATTCAAAAGAAGTTATGAAGGCATCAACAATGATCAAATAACTTGATGGTCTTCCCACCCTGGTATAGGACACTACCGATGGTTGAGAGGCCTTATCAATCATCTTTGAAGAGAACAAAGATCAAAGTATGTGGCGAATATAATTTGTCGCATTATAGATTTCATCAACATATGATTACCACTCCTCATGGAACTTGTTCTTAGAAAGGAGGAGGAGGTAATATCATAAACATACGCATATAAGCTAGTAATTACATGTATAAATAGGTAGAAGTAAGTAAAAATATGTAAAAGTAAGTTAATTCTATAGTATTTGGTATGGAAGCTTTCTAGAAGCTTCATAGATGCTGCTTTGACTTTATAGGTGTCTTTAATTGATTTTTTGGGATTAGAAACGTGGTCAACAAGTTGGCTATGTGCCATTTATGTTATTAGCTTGAAGATCAAGCTAACTATATGGCCCACATATAGAAAAACTTGCCTTATAAGTGAAGGCATGTGTCCTACAAAGTCAACACATATTGGAGGTCCTATAGAACGTTGCCACGTAGCCTTTAGTAAGTTAGTATATATAGAGACAATAGAGAAGCCTTCTTCACTCTTGTCAACTGCTTTCTTGCTTCTAGTCTAGCTTTAAGGGTCTTTTGTTTTCTTGGCTTTTGGCAATAGCCATTCTAGTTTCTTTTTTAATATACATATTAAGTTATTTCTATTTTGTCATTTTTCTATGAGAGAAGTCTCACTTGTTTATTTGTCTTTATCATGTTCTTGTCCTTGATATACATCAACATTCAAATTTGTTCAACATTGCACATCCATCAAATCACACTAAAGTCATTGGATAGAAACTCATCTTATAGTATATAGAAGTTCCTATTTCTTACTCACAAATATACACATAATATACATTATGTATCAAAATGTTTGAGCCATCATGTATGAATACACCCTAAGCTCCCTTAGTGGACAAACAAAACCCTAGCCACTAAGGGATTGGTTCAAGGAATCCTGGATGATACTGGATGATCTTGGCTAGAGGTGGTGGTTCTAAAAATGGTACTATAGGTGGGACTCTCAATGAACCCCCCCCCCTCCCTTTTCCCAAGTAATGATGATATTGCTTGTGTGGTGGTGTGGGTGTGTGCTTTGTCCATTCCATTCCATACATCCTAAACAGTGGATGAATGAGGATATTGGATGAGTTTTGGAAGGATCCATTCTCGCATTCAGGGGAAGAGGTGGAGTGTAGGAAAGTATCAGGGGGGGGAGGGCATTTTTTCAGTACATGCCAAACCTTTGTGCTGCTAAAAAGCATCCATCCCTACACACACACACAGAGCAAGAGAAGCAAGAGAGTAGCATGGGGGATTGTGCTGGTAGAGGATTTTGTTTTTTGTGTTTAGCACAATCTGAGTGAGTGACAGGGGTCCATTTTTGGAATGGGACCCACCCTCCCCCCTGCTGTAGCTGATTCCATGCAGAATCATCCCTGGCATTGGTGGGAGAATAGAATGGCTGCTGAGGGGGGAGGGGAGGAGGATGAACTAACCCAACCCCCGAGAAAACACATGCACTATGTGTGTGTGTGTGTGTGTGTTGGGTGGAAGGATCTGGGTGTGGATTCTGGAGAGCCTGGTCTTCCAAGGGCCTGCCTGGGCTCTTTTTATTCTTTTGTTTCTTTTGCAGATCAACGGCCTTCTCCCAGGACTATGATTCAATTCTCTTTAAATGAAAAACCATGTTTTTATTTTCTTTCGTGTACTTTGTTGAAATCGAGGAGTTGGGAAATTGAGGATATGGATGATTTTCATCCACCAGTGATGTGCTCTTGCGGACGAATGTAGTTCGCAAGATGACATGAAGGTGCTATTTCTGTGCCGCGGAATGGTTCCCACCAATGGGAGCACGGCCAACATGTGACGAAGATGGAGGCGGGTGCCTAATTTCGTTGGTCCAGCCGGTGTTGTATTATTATCCTCCGCGATAGACCACCCCACGCCCGCGCAGTGACGACGCAGCGACGCGTTGTAGGCCTCGACGACGAATGGCGGCCTCCGTTTACAGCGACGCATTCGCCCTGTAAGCCGGACGTAGCTATCGCGAGGTAGGATTGAGCGAGACGATTCGCCACTTCCGATTCCGTCGTGCATTTGGGCCCACGATCTCGTTCTCATTCCCCTTATTGAAGCCTCGATTAGTAGAGTCAACGTGCTTGGTGGACTTAATACCTCCTCCACCAGCAACTTTTCTCAACTCTGCCTTTCACTTTATGTAGTTTGGCTTTTTACTATTTTTGCAATAACTAATATCAGTCTCACATATATCGTTGTTGTTGTTATTTTTTTTTCATCATGGATCACTGCAACCCACATAACACAGTGACTACATTGGCTTGTCCACAGTAGCTATTCTCATGCCCACCTAGAGCTTAAGTCAGGACAAAGTAAAGGAGGAGGCTCATTACCTTCTATTGTGGGCTTAGACAACATGGATCAGTCTGACCTTCATAGGCCAGCTTCCACACACAAAAATACCTTTGACTGGCTGTGTGTTGCCTTCACTTCTTTCTTGCTTTGTGTTGACTTAGAACTTGTTTGAAGAATGAGGGGGGTGGGGGGGGGATGATAAGTTCAAAGCTGGGTACCAGTATGTGGAATAATTCTGGCCTCCCTGTCTTTACAAAACATGGGCTACAGTTACTGCTTTTGAAGGGAAACTAACTCATGCTGGATTACTATAGATTTTGTTTTTTTAGTGCTGTTTTCACCTATTGATCTATAGATTGACACCCAATTGTCAACCATTCCAAAATGCATTAATCATACTAATCTAAGCATTTTCTGTCTCTACGTTTGTCTTGTCATTGTTGTTTTTATTGTAGTTGTTGTCCACCTTAGGGGTTATTAAAAGGGTGGGAGAGGAAGATGGGGCCAATGGGAAGAAGGGGGCTCCCAAGGAGGAAAGGAGAGGAATTAGGGCATGGAAGATGCTGAAGCCTGGGAAATTGCATGGGGCCCGCCCACCGCCTCACACATGGCAACTTACAAAGGACCCTCACATCACAGGAGACATTATGGCGGGCGTGCCATTGTGGAGGCCCTGTTCTGAGTGGAATGCGTCGTTCTGTCCAACCCGAAATACAAATGTATAGGGGCTTCGCTTTTGGAGCATTTCGTCAGCCTCACTCGCAAACTCACGTCGTCGCCCGGGCAGTAGTAGAAGAAGTTCGCCCGCCTAGAGGCTACTTTGGGTGCGTTCAGTTCTACGGACCTGCACCCTCTCGATATCACAATTCTACTGCTCTGCGCTTCAGGAATGGCACAGCCTCACCATGCGACTGCAGCAGGCGAGTCTCCCGCGTGCTGCGCTCGTGAATCAGCAGCTCCGGTGGAATTTTGCGGGAGCTTTGGGTGCAGTCTGGCCCGTTGGTTGGTCCAGTGTGCAGGAGCACGTCGGGGAGTTGATTTCGTTAAGTGAAGGAGGTTGGAGTGAAGGCAGGGGGAGTGGAGAGGGTTTGGAATGGTGGAATGCAGACGTGAGTAGTTGTGTGGCGAGTAAGTGTGGTGAAGAAGTTTGCAAGGGAGAGGGGAGCGATGGTTGTTGTTGGTGGTGTGGTGGTGTCGGATATGTTGGAGGTGTTGCTCGTTGCCAGAAATGGTTTAGTGTTGCTGTTCGAGTAATGCGGAAGCTGAAGGTCATTCCAGTGCCTACGCGGATGAGGAATCGGGAGGAAGCGGATCGCTGGTGTGCGTTTGATATTGCTTCGATCGAGAATGGCTCGTGCTGGGCTGTAAAGGGGCGTGTTCCAACAGGACTCTTCTTTGGTGATTCCATTGAGGTACTGAGGCTCGCTTTTTATTGTTGTTACTAAGAATAATAACAATAATAACAATAGTAGTACTTTGCTTTATTTATTTATTTACTATTTGTAATCCTTACTTCTTGAGCTTTTGAGGGTGTGTGCATGCGTAACACGGTGCCGTGTTCAGTTAAGATCGCTAGTGCATGGAGTTTGATGTGTTACTGCACTACGTCTAACCTGTCCTTGGGCGGAGGAATTGCAGTTAGAATATTGTGAGGTAAGCAGATTCCCTACAGTCGAGTGAAGTTTGTATCGCATCCTTAGCAGGACGGATTAGATTCCTAGTCAATGAAGCAATAGGTACGTCTACAGACGTTGCATGTGTTTGCTGAATTGCCACTTTAATTTGAAAGAATTTGTGGGGGATGATTCCTCCAGTTAGCTGCTCTCGAAAATTCCACTTGATTGTGAGCCATCTCGTATGGTTGTTAGGGTGCACATAAAGCATTCCTAGATCAAGATATGAAGAGTGCTTTCAAGAAAAACAGGTTCCGGATCCGGACCACCAGAACTTTTATTTCAAGTCTGCATAATACGATGCACACATAGTCAGCATTAGAGTGAATATTAGATATTAATCACTCAACCAATTTACGTTTTCTTGGAATGGAGGGGGTGTGTAGCAGCTAATCTCTGTTCATACTAATTTTTAAAATCACGCTCAATCTTTTTTGTGTGATGATTCAGCACCTTTTTGGCAGTTGGGATATTAAGAATATTATTTGTGATTGTATTAACTTAAGGACATTGCAAAGCTTACGTGCAGCAGTTTTTTGTTCCCTGCCTGCTTATTGCGAGTGGTGCTTTTTACACAAGCAGTTTTCCAGAGAATGCTTGAATGAGATGTAATGTAGCTCTTTAAATTCCTTTGGGTGTCATGATCGGGTGTAAAGTACTGTACTCAGCATATATGCCCTTAAGGTTTCACTTCAGGGTTGGTGGACTTCAATTTGACATGATCCCTACTGTCATTCTTTCGGCACAACCATTCTCATTTACGTTTTAACCTTGAGAATGGATTGTGCTGCTGTTTGGAGATGTTACTCTCAGATGACATCGAAATGCCAATTTATCTATCTTAAGAGGTTATAGTACGATTGAACTGTAAGGGGTAGGGCTTACATTTCAGCTTAAAACTGTGACGCAAGAAAAGTTGTTCACTAGAATGCCCTACATTTTAGTTACGTTACTAGAATTGGGACCTTGGACTCATTAGGCTGAGTCATTCAACCATGTGAATGGTCAAGGATGTTTTCAAGGAGATTACCAACGAGTCGCTTTTAAACATTGATTCAACGAGTTGTTTAATGAATCAATGTTTGAAGTGGTGTAGTTAACAACGATACGGAAGTTGCATCAACCATGAGTGGCTACGCAATATCACAACTCGAGGTTATGACATATGTGCCGCAGGTGGACTTGAAATTTGTGTTGGGAGAGGGAAAGACACTAGAGTCAACCAACACTGATATTCATGATTCTGGTAATAACATGACGGACAACTATAGTTTGAGCTGCCAAAGTACAGATCTTGAGGTCCTGTCCTGCTCATATACAGTACACGTGGTTAGCACTTCAAGTCAGTAGCTTCTCTCAGTTTGGTTTTACTTTATTTATTTTTACTTCGATGGCTTGATGTCTTCTAATGTCTTGGTTGACAGCTTATGCGTTAATTATAAGATAAAGCTCTTTTCCAAGCCTTACCACGTTAGATATCTGACACGTTGTCTGTTCTTCACCATTCGCAGTAGGTGTCCCTTTGATACTCGATGGTGCGAAGCCGGGAAATAATGGCTCACCTGTGCCGGTATGTTGGTGTGTTTGCCTTCACTTATTGTTTCCTGACTGAACAAGCTGATCAAGCAGAATTTACTAAATTTATTTTGTTTCCTTAATCATTATTTACTTTTTAAAGATCTTACATACAAACACCCATATTATTATGCATATGAATACATGAATATGTTTTATGCTCTAATGAGTGCCTCAAACAATCAGTCATTATTCCACGAAGAAGTTCTCTATGTTGTTGGGAGGTGTTGCAAAGTGCATTCATGGGTAATTATAATTTTTGGTCCTTAAGTTGCAACAATTAGCGCTCATAATCATATATTGGCAGTCTGAGGACAGGAAGCTGCGGGATTTACTCGACCGTTTTTATATTCATTTTAGAAGTATCAGTCAATATCCAGAATTGCAGCCATTTTCGTTGTATGGAATCTATGATAAAGTAGCTCGGGAGCTGTACCATTACTCGCGATTGTTAACATTTTTAGGCGGTTAGATCCTATGGATACTATAATTTCGTTGAGATCGAGCAGTTTCTAGAGGCTTTGTTCAGGTAGAAGCTACTGGTGTTTGAGGAAGTTACTGTAACCATTTTTAGCCGTCACCTTTCCAATTTTTCAAAAGAGTGAACGATCTCGCCAGCTTTCGGAGTACTTGTTAGGATTTTAAAACTTCCCTTTTGGTTTGCTATTAGATTCAAGCTTTGATTTTCAGAGCACGCTTGGGGGCTCAATTGACTCCGACTGCATTCTATGTATGCTGTCTAATACGTCTTGTTATAAGAGTCGAAGTGGTGTAAGGATACAATCCAAGTTTCCAATATCCAAGTCTTCGAAGAACATCAGTTCATCTGCATTGTCAAGACTAAATTCGGAGAGAATGTTAATAGCATGTTTATTGATTTCTCTTCACTGTGCTTTGAAGGTTCTTGATGCTTCATCATTGAGATTTATGGCAGAAGATAGTATAACATCCGACCGGGTGGAAGTGCTCCATCATGGGCAGTCCTCATTTCGAGGATCTAACGACACGTCAATGCGGTTCTTTGTGGGTTTTTCACATATTGTATGGAGACCGATCTGGACCTTGTGGCGCTTCTTTATACCCCAGTTGATGAAGTTTGTCGCTCCGCTTAAAATTGGGTGAGTATCTCTTTCTAGTATCTTCTGGTATGTCCTTGATGGTGTATTTGATATGTGTGTTTGTTTCGGTTAAATTGTCTGAGGCTCTTGAAGATGACTAATTAGATTTAAGTTGTAACCACTTCCCCGACTTGAACTCATATATTTTTCAGCTTTAAAGCGCTTTAGACCGACTGATGTTCACATCTGTAGATCAACGCGTAGTTTTTCATCCGAGACTCACGCTTTGTTTTTACATGTATGAATATTTAAAACTCAATCTTGTTATAGTTCATTCGGAAAGTCTGCCTCACAATTGCTCCGATGCCTGACTGCAGCATGTATCTTTGTGTCTAGGGGGCTAAACCAAAGCAGTACGTTGCGTTAGCTTCTCATTTTAATTTCTGGTGAACGGGTAATCATGCTAGCTCTTTGAAACATGTGAACATATCATAGCGGTTTATCACGAGTATATTATCTGATAGTCAACCTCCTGATTTTTCATATGTTTCTGACTAAACCTTGATCGACACGCTGTGTGTTTGAGCTACACCTGTGTGAATGCGTTAGGCATGATCTTCAAAATACGAGTGTTCAAAATTCTACACCTGGTGGGAACATAAAAAAAGTGTTTTCCGATGTGATTGACTAGACGGATACGGAGCTCTCAGCAATTCCCCCATGATCCTAGCATTTTCTCAATCCATAATTTAGTTAAATAGGTCTAGTATATGCTCTCCAAAGTGAGCACAGACGTCTTAGTATGGGATGGTGCTCTTTCAGACCATCCACTCTGCGTTATGTTATTATTTCAAACTGAGTCTTATTCGATTCTGTTCTTGATTGTCAATATAGTTCGAGGGTTTTGACTCGTTTGTCTCCTTTACGCATTGATTAACAACCAGTTAATCAATGTCTGCATCATATCAGGTGAAAAAGGCGTGTACGTCGTGGACTCCCGAAGAACAACCTGCAAGTTGCTGGTGAATTTCTGGCTTAAGTCTTACGCCTAACTGCCTCCACACTCGTATCTTAGCATTAGAAGCTACCAGGTTGGTAGTTTCGAGAACTGGAGGGTTCACCTTAGTAATGATGATTTTTACATTGTTTCGATGCAGTGCTCGCCAAGATAGGCTCCACGACTTGGGAAATCCTACTCACATCTTGGGAGGAGCTCAAGCTTGGGCCACAGTAGGAGTAGGTCTAAGTTTGAGAGGTGTGTGTTTGTGAGCTTTTTGTAGTTTTTAATTGGTCTGTGAAGAAATATTGTTAATATTAATATTCAACTAATTTTTTCCCCCAAAAATCCAGGAAGGTCAAAGATGTAGTGTTGTGATACCTCACTAGTCTGGCAAATATGCTGCATCTGAAGTGTAAAGATCACGGATGCCCTGCACTTTGCACCTTCACTTTTGAGTTTTATCTACTTTCTGTACCAGAACCACTGAATTTCTGAGGGCAATTTAATATCACATTCTCAAATGAAATGAAGTGCTCTGTAACACAATAAACATAAGTAATGGTCTTTCCTGACATTCTGTTCATGTCTCTTCCGCCTGCTGTGAAGCTTTTGGAGGTATCAATACTGTGTTTGATTTCCAATTGGCAAACTTCCTATTATCACAACTGTGGCGCATCAACAAAGTACACAGATGGTATCCACAAAGCATGACACCCAGATAATGTATACGTGTCAACTGGACTAATCGCATCCAATCTAACCAGCACAAAAACATCAAGAGTTTGAGAATCTTCACTACTTTAGTAGCAAATCTTGTGCCAAGCATTGCTTTACACTTGTAGTAAAACTCAAACAAGTTTATATTATGGGAATGGGATTCTATTACAAAGGCCAAGACACCTTAATCCCATCCAGAATGTTTCAATTTTAAGTAAAAATGTCTATGTCCATGAAGTAACACTCCAAATTGGGGATAGGAACAAAACATTGCTTCGTCTTGTGTAAGATTCTAGTGGTATTACACCTTTCTTCTCTTACATTGCATTCCACACTATTGAAAGATTAACAGTGTTTGAGGTTATTTATAAGTGGTTGGATAAAAACTAGACAATGATCACACAAACTTGTTTCTATCTTAGAGGTTCACAAATTCAAAATACTACATATACTTTATAATTTCCAATCTAAAACTATGAGTTTGTTAGTAGTAAAAGCTTTTGCTTCCAAGTCCTATATACTTAGTTTCTCACTTTAAACCACATATTTTGTGACAATCACTTTCCAAGTACCTTGACAATTCTTGTAATTGATTTTGGTCTTTATTACAAAATGGATCCAAACTAAGTAATTATCCTATGATAAAAGCTGCTACACTATCATATACCTCACTACTAAAAGGTCAACAAACAAGAAATACAATGACTATTAATCCATCTTTCAATTAAAATTCTTTAAGCACCATTTTTCTTTTGTTGTTTCAACATGTATGTGAGGATAAATTTCCCCTTCACCTCAAATTACAAGATGGCCTCAATTAAGAGTTGCTTGTAATTGGTGGTAAGAAGTAGAAAGTAGCAATAAACAAGTGCATTCAAACAATTGTATACTATAAAACTAGTCATAGTCTGTTCACTGGATTTTTACCTAATAAAAAGTAAAATTAAAAAGTAAAAAATATATTTTTAGATAGATAATTTTTTCTATCTTTCCAATGACATAAAAACCATATAATTTCAAGTTACTATGAATAAGTTATGATAGATTAAAGATAGAATGTAAATAATAGAAAAGTTTAGTGAATAATTTTTACCTCAAGGATAACTTGTTTAAGAAACCAGGACTTTGAACCTCACCAAGGCTCACAAGTAGTGTATATTGGTCTTTTAAATAGACCTTGAGGCCTTAGTCTTATCTTCCTACCTATACCCAAGGTGTTACAACCCATATGAAGATTGTGCACCTCTCTTCTTACAAGGACTATACTACTTGTTGGTCTTTCTATTTTTTAGTAGTAAAACTAGTTTTTTTGCATTTTTGACTTCACCATGGTTTTCAAAAATACTCAATTAGCCTACAAACCTTGTGTAGGCTTCAAATCTTGTTTCATTTCTTCTTAGTTGCTCTCAAGGTGGTAAAACTCAATTTTACCAAGGTCTTAAAATTTTCTCTAAAATTCATAAAAAATCCTAAATAAATTCTAAATAAATTCTAAAAAATCCTATAATATTTTTGTAATACTAATATCCATAAATAATATATTTTTCTATTTTTTTAATTTTTTATAGTAATAAAATCAATTTAAATCCACTAAAAATTCTATTTTCTACATACATAACTTAAAAGACATGAAGTTCTTTTTCATGCTTCTTTTAACTATCAACTAATCATTGATAGGATTTTTATAAGTAATACATGTAGATATGAGGCCAATATAGAAATTGGTCTCAATTACTAATTGTTGTTCTCGTTGTGTTCAAGCTTCAATATACCAAAGCAATTGAATTAATAGAGGTGGATTCGAACACGGAAAAAGATTGGTTATATGAATTGGGTCTGTTAGTGTCACAATTGACTGTACTTTGGCTATCTAAAATAAATTATCAAACTACAAAATACCAAGGCTTACTACTTCCATCTTAATTCAATCCATAATCCATTCTACAACTATCAATTCAAAAATACTTTCATATTCTTATCCATTCATCTCCCACTTACTCTCTTTGTGGTTTATATATATTCAATTACTAATCTCCAGCTTATCTATTGTATTCAATTTCTCAATTCATCACACAAAATTCAATATCTCGGCTTACGACTCTCACAGTCTGGCACTCGAGATTAACTTTTCACTATTCAGAAACTATCCATTACTCGTCAACAAAAAAGAAACAAAAAGAGGTAGTACCAAGCTTGCCCCCGCTTACGACTATCACAGTCTGGCCCTTGGCTTACGACTCTCGCAGTTTGATCTCTTGGCTTACGACTCTTACAGTCTGACCCCTTGGCTTACGACTATCACAGTCTAGCTCCGATATCTCTTTCTTCAACTTCTTTATTCTACCTAAAAGATGATCCATCGGCCAACGGATTCCAAAGATTATGACCCTTTGAATTCTTAACCATTTATTCCACTAACAACCTAATGTTACCAACTAAACTGCCTAACCATCAGTCTAATTCTCAAGGTTATCAATAACCAATCAGTAACTTACTACAAAGTTTATTTACCTATTCTATATAGTCCCACTATTAATTGTGCAGTGCCCTCGTAAACATTTAATTGTTATCTATCTAAAAACTACTTAACAAAACTTTACAAAGGTACTATTTCCTCTGGCCCATCCAATTCATCATTTGCTGCAGTATCAAATGTGCGTTCTCTTGAATCTGGTTCCAATTGCAAATCTTGTTCATCCTCCTTCAGTCCGTCCATCGATTCCTTCCTCAATTGATTTGAGAGATCTTCATTATACTCTCCTAATTCATGGACTTGAGCTTTCAGTTTCAAGATTTGGACATCCCAAAGTTTCAATTGTTATTGCTGCTGATTCATCTATTCTGGAACATCTTTAATTGATACTTGTGACTGGCTCTTCACTGTTAACTCTTAACTAGAACTACTACTCTCGAAAACACAAGAAATACAAGAAAATGGCACTCCAACCAATCCAAAATAATACCACACAATGACTTTAATTGGTGCCCTACTCCTATTCTTTTACTACCTGGTGATAATGACAACATGTTATCCATACTGTCCGTGAAAGGTAATGGGAAGTAATCTTTCTTGATGGCCGCATTAAGTTTTCAAAAATCTTGATAAATTTGGATTTTTCTATTTTTTTTCGGCACCATCACGATTGGAGAAACCCACTCACTATTTGGTATCGGGTAAATAAAACCAACTGTAAGAAGCTTTTCCAATTCTTCCTTCACTAATAGGATATATTTAGGATTAAGGCGATGTTGCCTGTGTCGTAACGGTTTAGCGTTCTCCTTTAAAATGATACGATGTTCACAAACTTCAGCAGGGATACCTTTTAGATCAACCTAAGTCCAAGAAAAAGTTGATTTATGATGTAAGAAAAATTCTGTCCAATAGATTAATTCTTGTTCCTTAATACCTTCATATATCGTAATTGTCTGAGGCTCTGCTGTGATTGCCAAGTTGATAGTTTGACATAAAAATACAGCGGTGATGTTTGATTTCAACCCCCACGCTAGTTTAAAATCACTCGATAAGTCCGACATGTGTGAAGTACTGAATCCTATATTCAGGGCACTCACATGGTGCATATCATACTTGGTCATCCAATCAATACTAACTTTAGTAAAGATTTCCGAATCCATCAGGTATATCAAGTACTCCTCCGGACCACCACATTGGTACACCACTGCAAGGTGTTGGTTTACTTCCACGGACGCCTTTGTAATTAGTACTACTGCATCATCATCGATGCTAAGCTCATCATTCGATGTCAATTCACATGCTGGCAATTGAGATTCCTCGTTATAGTGTATTGGGTACATTTGTAACACCATTTTATCTCCGCCTTTGCCAATTGTCAAAGTACCCTGATTCCAATCGTTCTTGGCCTTCGCTTGATAAAGCCAAAATCGTCCCAATAAAATTGGATAAGATAAAGTCAAACATTGTAACCGAAAGACGATGTAGTCAATTTTATACGCAATACCAATAATTATAGTTTGAACACTCCGTAAAATATCCATTGGTTTAACTCAACTATTATCTGCCATCTATAATATCAATGTTCTGGATATTAAGTGTTCCAAATCTAAAGCATCTATTGTATCAGCATTCATTAAATTGACGCTGGAACCACCATCCACATAAACACCTAAGATCATAACACCATCAATCAAAATATCGATGGTTGGTGCACCTAGATCAGGGTTCAAACTGACTTCTCAAACTTCCTTATTGCCTTGCCTATGCCGTGTTAACAATGAATTCAATGTAGAATGACACTCTGGTACAACTGCTAGAAGTTGCTTTATAGAAATACAAGGTCGAATAGCATCCAGATCCTTCAAAATATCATAGGGTTCCATATGTAAGGTAATATCTAATGTCTTCTTCCTTTTCATTGGTTTGAATTTAACTCCATGAGATAAGATATTCTTCCGCCCTGGACTCAGAATTGGAATAGTAGACGAAGCTTCCTTGGAATTCGTACCTCTGAGAGGATCTTTCGACGGATAGGATGTTTCTAAAAACTGCGTAGAGAACGGAACAGCTTGACACAGAATCAAAGCCTCCGTAATTGGTACCTCATTGGGGTGCACAACCGATTCAGGTCTTATACTGAGTAAGGGGCCCATGTCAGGACCTGGATTGAATAGCCCCATAATTGGGTCCAATTTGCCTTTTGCTTCAAGATCACCTAAATGTTGAATTAGTCCTTTCTCCTTTTGCTGACTTCTTGT